TTAAGAGTATTGATATAGATAGACATGGACATGCATGAACAGATTACCCCAAACAATACTAAGAAGAAAAAACCTTGTAATTCGGATAATATAACAATCAACAATATCAAATCACAACAAATTAAAGAGATTCGTATAATAAAGGGAATGTGACTGAGATTATAAAAGAGAGCACACAACACAATCATGGGAATCGGTTGAGAGAGAGAGAGAGAGAGAGAGAGAGAGGGAGAGAGAGACCTTCTTATTTTTAAATCATTAAAATAAATAAATAAGTATTTAGATTTAAAAAAATGAAAGAAAAACAAAAAACAAATACTCAAGGGTATTAAAGTCATTCCAATTTATCGATGGACTAAATCCACAACGAAACTAGCTCAAAATGACCACGAAGCCAAAAAATTCGGTGCTTGGACCAAACATCGGAAAAAATGCATACAACAGGGACAATTTTTCCAGTTTTATCTAAAATTTACCTATATAAATACAACATTCTTCGACCAGATTTTCAAATTATTCTTCTCTTTATACTCTCTAAATATCATATAGATGTTTTTTTTTTAAATACAAATTTTGATTCGGATAATGGTGAAAAATTTATCTCAATGTTCTTTAATGTTGTGCAACACATAGACAATGAAGAACGTACAAATGTTTTGCGTATAAGAGCGGTTGTCAATTGAGCTTTCCAAGCCGCACATGAACTATTAGTACGTGATTATTTTTCCGACAAATGTCTTTATAATGATGAGACATTTGAACATTGATTCCATCTAAATAGGTCGTTATTTTCACGTATTAGTCATGTTTTAGAGGCGGGATATGATTATTTTAAGCAAAAACTCGATGTTAGAGGTAAAACGGGCTTTAATAGTATATAAAAATGTATGGCTTCACTTATATATTTAGGATACGATATAACTTTTAATGCATCAGACAAGTACTTGAAAATATTTAAGAGGACTACAATTTCCGGTACCGGTACCGGTAATGTTAGTTCGGTTTGGTACTAGGGATTGACTTTTGATTAAATTTAGTTTTTGGAAAATTGGAAATGGTACCGATCGGTACTAGTTTTGTCCTACACTCATCCTTGCTCTACTGTTTCAAAACGGAATCAGATAATTTGTTATGTTTTGTTCCAATCTTACTGTTAGGTGCATTACGTCCTAATTCTTGCGTTTAGTTAGCTATTTGGGCACTTGCATGTTTTATTAGAATGTCTGGTACTTCACTGTCTTTTGGTTTAGTTTGCAGACATTATGGAACACATAACATTAGAGCTACGGAGGCAAGCATGGAGCTTGGATGATCGGGCACAAAGCATTGGAGCATAAAGAGAAGATGGACCGACGTGTCAATGAAGAGAACTTGAAGACACAACCTGAGTCATTATATTTCATCATAACAATTAACCACGCTTGAAACACAGTTTGTGTCACACTGATAAGGGTTACTGTAACACCCATAAAATCATGCTGAATTTGAAATTTTAAAAACACTTCAAAACCATTAAAAACTTGTTTTTAAAATGTATAATATCAGAGTTTTCCCAGAAACATAAACAAAACACGAGGAGTTGTACGATCACGTCTTTTCCTTGCCGCGATCCCCTGATGTACGTGAAACAATAAACTGAAAACCATAATCCCGAAAGTTTAGTGAGTTCCCCCAAAATACCGACACACTACACATAACACATATATAAATAACAACATGTACTGGTCCACAACTTTACAGACCGGATTACCCATGGGCCCACAATGTGAGTTTGGATTGCCTTTAGGGCTCACAACTCACATCTGGATTGCCATTGAGCCCACATTACGAGTCTCCCTCAGCTCGTATCTGGAATGCTCCTGGGTTTGTTGGTTACCGCACGGAGCAGTATCACCTCAACCCATCTCACATAATATGTCAACATATAACGCAACTAATGCACATACCGGTAATCACATGATACTATAAATAGTCCTACAAATCTACCTAACTGGCATAGAAACTAACATGCAACCCTAACTCATACTCATCATACTACAAACTGCTAGGGTATCATATCCAATGGGACGACCTTGGTGCCTTAGACCCCCTTAGTATAGTGAGGATAATTCACCTCGCAATTGTCGACTCGAAAGATGAGCTCAAACTCTCGGATCACTGTCACAAACTCCACCACCTATATTCACCAAAAAACCATACTTGTAAATTTCCAATTTTCCAAAGTGCCCCATAAGTAAATCAGTCAACCCTTGGTCAAAGTCAAAGTCAACAGTCCATGTTGACCCGACTCGTCGAGTACAGTCACTAACTCGTCAAGTTCTTCCAGAAATCGAGTAGTCGTGAAATCCGCCACCGACTCATCGAGTTTTCCCTGCAACTCCCCGAGTCCATACGTGTCCAAAAGTCGGGAAAACCCTAGTTGACTTGCCGAGTCACCCCACTGACTCGCCGAGTCCATGCAAAAGTTCATGCGCGACAATCTTCATCGGACTTGCTGAGTTGACCATGCAACTCGTCGAGTCCCTTCAGTCCATTATTCATTTCAGATGCTTATTAAGCCATTTTAAGGTTCCATATTGTAGATCCAGCTTCCCAAGGCTTGTTTATCATGTAAAGTTGCAAACTTTATGTGCATGCAAGGCTCTAAAGTCTTATAATGTCAAAACCAAGCTTGAAATGAAGTTTTACACTTAAGGAGAGGTTTATACTTGCTAAAGCTGAAAGCTTTAGGGACTTAGAGACCAAAGAGAGTTCATATACGAAGTTACAACTTCAGATCTTAGCTCATACTCACGAACAACTTCATAATATGCTAGAAACATCCTAAACTTTAACCAAATGAGATATAGAAGGAAATGAGGTCAAGGTAACAACTTGATACCTTCCAAAAGATGCTAACTGAGGTAGATATCAAATCCCCACACGTTCCTTGCTTCTATCCACTTGCTCTCCAAGCTCTTCTCACTAAGATCCACATTCCAAAGCTTAAAACACACAAGAATGAAGCATACACACAAATTAGGGTTTTTTGGACTCTCAAGAGGCTGTAAGGGGACTAAAGGAGGCTTATGATCCTTTAAAAAGGGTGTAAAACCCCGTAAATTAGGGTTTCATCCTCCAGCTCCTACTCGCCGAGTCTTATCTTGGACTCGACAAGTAGGTCACTTAAACACGTTGCCCAAACCGCTTCTACTCGACGAGTCAGGGCATCCAACTCGTCGAGTAGACCTTGAAATTATGAAAATTAAATCCTTAAAATTATCACCTGAGAGTCGAGGTGTTACAGTTATGTTTATCTTTTTCATCATATATTTGAGCAACATGCATCGGGGTGAAGCTAGACCAAAGCCAAGTTTGAAGAATGATTTGAGTTTTAGCAAAAAGCATGGTCTTGATTAAAAAAACACATGGCTATGGTTAGAACACATGGCCATGCTAAAAAATGCATGATCTTTGAGGCAAGCAAGTGAGTAGTTACTTGTGGTGCGAAAAAGGAAGAAATCGACTATTTTACACAAATGGATGATTTTGAGACCAACAATGGGAATTTTGGAGCTTTTGAAGATACCAAATCATTACAAACATTTCTTATATTCATTTGTAAGAATTAAAAAAAAAATCAAAATCCATATTTTTGTTTGATTTGCTCTTTGTCATGTGTGGCTAAGAAACCCTAATCTCTAGTTCTTGTTCGAGACATGTTGATTGTTTGACTTGAAACATATGACTTAATATTTAATTTATGGTTATATTCTAGTGATTATGTTCTTGTTTAAACTAGAATATTTGAATTTGATTTATGTTTGATTGACTACATGTATAAATTGAATTCTTGTGTAGTTAATCAACTTTTAGGGCCTCTAATCATTCTATAAAGTCAATGATTAGTAACAAACAATAACTTTTCTTATTGTAGAGCACATATCACATATTTTAACACTTCTGAGCGTATAAGAAGAAATGAACATTGTTGGGAAGCTTGTACAAAACTTAATGCAAAACTTCAATACAATCTAAGAGCGTGTTTAAGTTGAATTATTAAAGCTAAGTCTCGTCAAAGAGTTTGTTTTCGTTAGATAACTTGACAGACGAGATGTATTAGAGCGTGTTAATATATTTTAGTACCAACATAGAATAGCAATCATAAATTGTTTTTATAATCAAGTTAAATGACAACATTAAAAACTATAACTAGAACCATTTCTACAATTTATTTACAAATCTATTTAGTTTTTCAACATGTTTTCAAAGTATATTATTATTTACATTATTTCAAATTTTGCATATAAATCCCCCTTTTGTGACTAAGGTACATTGTGCAAAAAAGATATAAACTTTTATCTTTGTGTCTGTGGGGATCGACCCTACTTGCTTTGTATTACTTTTTAGTGCATTGAAATTGTGTATTTAGAATCTATAACACCCATATTATTTATTGAGTTTGACACACCTAGCACTTACCAAACATTATATAAATTATTTGTCCACTCAAATGAGACAATTTTTGAAATAATAATGTATTTTGAAAGTAAATATTTTGAGAACGGTTGTTATAAAGGTTATTTTATGAAAACAAGGTTATTATTTGATATATTATTTGATATTTTATTAATGAAAATAAATTAAAAAGTAATGAAAGGCAAACTAATATTTTAGATAGACAAGACCATCGAAACAAAATAAAATTACAAGAAAATCCAATGTTACCATGAAAATTGAGAGTCATTTTTGGAATTTACTCTAACAACAAATATATAAACTCAACAAATTCCGTTCTTTTTCTTGGGCGGAAAGTCGATACATTGCGATGAGAGGAGCGACGAGAGGAGGGGAGAGAGTGCTGAATTAGATGTCGTGAAATACTTTTCGAGACTCCTCAAATTTCGAGGCTAACGTCGATCTCCGTGAGCCTCGTCCTCTGTCTAAACCCCCTCCATAAAACCACCCTAAAACCCTAAACCGACGAACGAAAGGACTGCTAAAAGCAACTGCTCGATTTCATGGCGGTCACCAGCAGTAGCACTACAGCTTCTGAAGGAATTCAAGGAACAAAATCTTCAGCAACAATTGTTTTAACAAACTCGCCACACAATCAATTCTTTGGCAAGTTTAATCTTCGTCCTCTATCTTAATGTTTTGATTAACAACTTGTTCACGCATTTTAATCGAACTAATCGTGCGCGGTAAATTAGATTTGTGGTTGAAATGAGTCCTCGAAAGTTGTTGTCTGATTTTAAATACTTCGTTACTGGTTTGAGATCGAAAAAATGTTAGCCGTGTAATATTTTGCTTTAATTTTTAGAGTTTTACTGTTCCGATCTATAATGAAACTGGTGTATGATGTGGACGGAGAGATATCTTAGTCTTGCTTTCCGAAGGCATTGGTGTTATTTGTGCATCAGATGATAGTAATTGCATTCTAAAGTTGGAGAATGAATAATGGAGAACTTAGATTGCATTTACGTGACAAAGTACAACTCATGTTTAGCAGAAAAGTGTAGGATTTTGTGTCATTTAAGATAGAAAGTGACTTTCAGTTACCCTGTCCATTGAACAAGTGCATTGAGTTGAGCTTGAGTGAAGAAGGACCTTGTATTTCCCCAATCCATTACTAATTCGAACTTCAGTGCATTCTAAAGGCCGACTGTACGTGACCATTATATGTATTATTTGTAGTAATCAGTTTTATCCAAAACTAGATTAAGTCCTTATCATTTTTTGAAGTTGAATCCCAGCCCACCCAACCTAGACACTTACTAGTATGCAAAGGCAGTATAACTTTATAACTATCATATATGCAGTGTTTTAAAAGGATGTTACACTTTCTTCATCAAAGTGGTTGAGATTGAAAATAAAAATACTTCTTACTTTTTAGAAAAAACAGAGTTCTCATGGTAATGTGCTAACACATTTCAGTTTGGAGAGAGTTCTTATGGGGAGCCCTTGCTGGTGGCTTTGGGGAAGGGATGATGCACCCAATTGATACTGTGAAAACTCGAATCCAAAGTCAAGCCATTTTGACTCAAAGCCAGGTCTGTTATGGTTTTCTTACAATCAAATCTAAACTCTATGGAACAAGAAAGATATAGTTGGGTAGCTTCAATACTTGTGCATGTTACATTTATAACTTGGGTTCATTTTCTTGGATGTTGACTCTTTATTAACTCGGTGATGTTGGTGCATTGTGTTCCTATGATCAGAATCAAAAGACTATATTACAGATGGTTAGAGCTGTCTGGGGTGCTGATGGCTTAAGAGGTGAATTCTCTTCCTATAAAATTATTTTTTTCCTTTGAATGTGTGAATCATATGCTTTTACATGTGACTCCTTTCCTGATCTACAGTGGCACAATGTGCAAACTTTAAGCATTTTGTTACATCTTCCCTTTTGCTAAAAATCTACCTGAGTGTTAGGTTTTTATAGAGGGGTGGCACCTGGGGTAACTGGATCTCTTGCAACTGGTGCAACATATTTTGGTGTCATAGAATCCACCAAAAAGTGGATTGAAGAAACACATCCGAATCTTGGAGGTCATTGGGCCCATTTCATTGCTGGTGCTTTAGGCAAGTAGCAACTCTTGTTTTTGTGTCAAAGTTGATGCATTTCCATTAACTTTCAGTTTCAAGATACGATTAATACATACGAAGAATAAATAAAATAAAATAAAATAATTTGTTTGTTTTGTTTATCTCCTTGAAACCATAACAGGAGATACACTTGGGTCTTTTATATATGTCCCTTGCGAGGTGATTAAGCAACGTATGCAGGTTCAAGGAACAAAGAAATACTGGAGTTCAGTTGTGATGAAAGAGT